CGTTTGTTTAAAAAAATTCGAGAAACTTGATCCCCCCTCCACGCTCCCTTTTCGAGCATCGTGCCAGAAAAATCTAGATTTTTTTTTTTTTTTTTTTTTTTTTTGCAAATAAAGACTTGTTCAACTCGTGTGGATAGTGATGCTAGTGGTGAAACGGTAGAACTAAAATGTATTGTTGTCTTTGTCACTTTCATGATCCTTTTCTAGGAACAGTGCTGCCATCCAAGCGTCTCTAAATTCCACTTGGAACTAAAAGGATAAACAGGAAAACTTCAACAGATGGCAGCACCACATTCGTGAGGGTTTACTTTTTTTAATTAATAAATATTACGAGGTTTGATACAACAACTATTATTTATTTAGTTTAAATAGAATGATATGATTTACTGAGTACTTGCTTTGATGACCTTTTTTGCAACTTCTAAAATTTTATTTTCTTCTATCTTTCTTTCGTCGCCACTGTTTCGCTCATTTGAAAAGTTTTGCTCGCTGCGCGCGCAACTACATAGACAAGAAACGCGCTAATGTATAAGAAGGAGAGCAATAACGATTAATTATAATTCGCGCCATTTCGCCGCTACGTGACGCTAGCTGCTCAATGTCCATTTGAATCAGGCAAAAAGAACCAATTAAGATCAATTTCTTTCAAACTTTTCAATATGCCATTTAACCTTCGAAATGCGAATAAAGACTTACAAATTTTATTCAAGATGTAAAAGCATCTGTTGATCCGGATTTAATCATGTGATTGTAGATATCAGCGATTTGAACACTCGCATCGTGGAAATTGAACAGATTGTCTTTGAAAACATTTAAACAACTGTCCACCTTCCACTTGTTTTTCTTGAACTTCTAGTTTTTAGTTTCTGGTACTAGCTCGTGGATAATTTTATAACATCAATTTCACTCAAATTTAAATAAACTTGGTATTCATATATATATATATATGTAGGTATAAGCAATAATTTTAACGTTCAGAACTCGAAGATAAATATCATGGAAATGAATGAATGGCTTAATTGTTGCAGATAAAAGGTACATTATGTAAAATTTAAAATGTAATTAGTAAATATTTCAAAGTAATTTTAAAATAAAATGGAGATAAAGTAACTTTTGTCTTTTGTTCACCGTAAAGGGAAGGGTGTCGGATAAGTAACGGTAGAGAATCCAGGTTTTAAGAAAGATCAATGCTTTATTTAGTTTGAGTAGTCCATATATTTAATACAAAAGCGTAGGTTTGATTAGCTGAAACAGAAACAAAACAGCAATTCATCATCAAAAAGAAAAAAGGGCTGACAGTCGTAATTGAAATCGCAGGAACGATTAATCAAAATTTGATTAAATTCGTTAAAAAACAAAAGAAAGATGCCTCGAACGTGTACTTACCATTTGGCGATAGAAATTGGTTTACAAGAGTCTGACACCCTGTCGTACGAGTACCCCAACGAACATCGCAACAGCTGCGGCCGCGCGTTCCTGCAAACTACCACGTTTGTGCAAAAATCGTTCAACCTGTGCACGTCACCGTCGTTGCACGGCACAGTGCTGAGACTAGGGGGGACATTTTGCACGATGTTCCACGGATTTTCAAATTGCTCAGGCTGCTGCTGCTGTTGTTGTTGGTCTTTTTCGATTTGCAGCTGCGCGGCTACAGGTCGTTGGTGCCAGTTAGCAAATTGTGACAGCCCGTAAGGCGATGACTGAGGTGGCTGTGGCGGTTGAGATGGTTGAGATGGTTGAGGTGGTTGAGGTGGTTGAGGTGGTTGAGGTGGTTGAGGTGGTTGAGGTGGCCCGTAAGATGGTAATTGCGACGGTCCGTAGGACGGTGGTTGTGCAGGAAGTGGCGATGGTTGCGATGGTCCATAGGATGGCGGTGGCGGCCAAGTCGATGGCGGTGAAGCAGCTGGCGGTGAAGCAGCTGGCGGTGAAGTAGCTGGTTGTGATGGCGACTGGCTTTGCGGCGTGGTCTGTTTAGGCGGAAGTGAGGGAGTTACCGCGCCTTTGCAATCCACGTTGTACGGGTAATCACAGACGCCCAATACCTATCAGGTGAGACAAGTTACAAACGAGATGTAAAAATGCCAAGTTAATTATGACAAGTACGAGACAGAGAAAAGAGGTTTCTTCAGTTTATACAGGGTGACCACTGAAAAACTGAAGGGTTCTTGTTTTTCACATATAATATAAAAAAAATAATAAAATTATATGTGAAAAATATTAAACAAATATGTTTTGATGAAATTTACTATACTATACTATAAATATACTATAAATAATAAGGTATTTTTATGCAATAAAAATCACATATATAGAGAGAATTTTGAATTTAATTGTACGTCAAAAGTAATAAACATTTAGATTCTGATACTGTACCAATTAATTTCTATTCTAATAGTGTACAAATTAATTTAGTAATTTATTTTAGTCGTGCGTTAAACATGCACTTGAGAATAACAAACGCTCGTCGAGCGAGATTGTCACTACTCGGTTGGATTATATAACAGAGATGATCGAAACGAAATTGTAGAATAGAAGGTTAAATTGTAGAGTAGAAGGTTAATGCCGAATTTAGTTTCAAGCAACGACGCGGAAGCCTCATAAGCGGCCTTTGACCACGTAGGGGCCGAGAAGGCGGTAGTTCGGCGCGTCACGTACGCGTTACGATTTAAAATTCCGCAAATACTCTACGAATAATTCGGGAATAAAGTTCTTACGTCATTGTAGACCGAGTTCCCGGAGCAAGCGAATTTAATCGGCTTTCTGTAAACGCACACGTAGAATTCCGAGCAGTTCGTCGCACTTCTGTAACGGCCATTCGGTTCCGGACAGAGTTTCGCTCCGCTAGACAGAGATGGTCCTGAAAGGAAGAGAAAAAGTTGTTAGAAAAAAAGAAATCATCTCACGTATCGTATGGTTGTAGCATAGAATAACAAGCTATACCGTGTACTTACAGAATAACAAGATACCACATTTTAAAAAAAGCAAACTATTAAAATCTCTGTCGATACAAATTGAACTGAACTTTATTTCTCTTACTTATTCGAACAATCTTTCATACCGATTTCTTCCAATTTTCCAAAAATCCACAAGCTAAATCTCTGAAAATTAATCGAACAAGCGTGAAAAGCGAAAGTTTACTTACTCGGCGTGGGCTTGGGCCGATCGCCGCAGTTCACGTTGTAATCGTAATCACAAACCAGGGTGACATCGTTGAAGAGTAATCCGTCGGGGCAAGATTGTTCGACAACCGTGTCGTCCCAGCAATTCAAATAATTGGAACAACTCTTCGGACTTGGGAACTGTCCCCGGGGAGCGAGACAGCCAGGCGGCGGTGTTGCCACCGGTATCGGTTCGGCGGTTATAGGTCCTGGTAACTCGTTCGTATCTCCGGGATTGGGAAGAGTCGGGTAGAGTTGCCTCGTGTTTGAAACCTCCGAGTCTTGCAACTCCGTCGCGTTCGCAGACGGATTGGAAGGGTTCTTGTTGTCCAGTTTTTGCAACTCCACGAGATCCCACACGTTTTCTAAATTTAGATAATTAGACTTGTAAATATATATATATATATATATATATATATATATATGTATATATAATAAAATAGCACGAAGCCAATATGCAAAATCATAATGTATCAACACCAATGAGTTACCAAAGTGGTCAAATTTAGAATTTTTCACAGAAATCTTATATATTATATACGACGGCCTATTTTTACAGACTTGAATGACTTTTAGTATATAAATAAATGGAAGCTTGTGTTCTTCATTGTATTACAAACTTCTCCTTCCAAGAACGTTCCGTGCACTTTAACTTCTTTGCTACAAATTTTGTACTTTAGTCGTCGGTAGTTAAGCTTCCAAGCGGATAATTTCTTAAGGCTGGGCCAAAAATCACTTCCTATTAAAATATATCCAGCAATTTTAAAAAAAATCTTTCTTCTTACATTTATTAAAGAAAAAAAAAAAAAAAAAATAGGTGGGAAGAAACTTTCAGCCCACCCTATCCACTTTGTACTTGCCAGAGAGTTCAAACGTCGAAACGATGAGAAAATTAGCGTGTATTGGCACTGACCTTGACGCTGCTGTCGAGGGTGTTCGAGGTACGTCCGACGACGCGCCGCGGTGACCGTTCTCCTAGAGGCGTCGCAGAGCGCCAAGAGGGCCAAGAATATCAAAACGAACCTCATGGTACGAATCTCCTGGTCGGGTCGCAGGGAGATCCAAGGAGAATCGCGGAAACAGAACACCCCCGAGGTGGTCGAGGTTTGAACTCGCGACGAAGGGGTCGAGGGATCGTTGGCGAACCTCTCCGCGGTGTCCGAATCTTTGCGCACGATGTTCTGATGCTGGATGGCCTGGACCTGGTCGGTTCGAGGGCTTACATAGGGCGTCCCCCACCACGGGGGACTGCTTCGTAGGGAGTAGCTTCGCAGGACCTCAATTACACCGGCGCAGGACCTTGCGGTGGACTCTCCACGGCTCAGGAAGTGCACGATTCTTCTCTTCGACGCCGCTCTTCTTCCCGCGCCGAAATTCCCCACCTTCCCCACATTTGCTCGTCGCGGGGGTATACGGGGGTCGAACACAAGCCGCAAGGACGCGAATCAACCGTGTCGCAACCTGCGTCGCTTGGCTTCTTATTGGACGAAATTTAGAATGACCGGTCACAGCCGAGCATGTATTCCTCCCGCTGGTCTTCGTTCGTTCTTCTTTCCGACCGCGTATCATCACCGCCGTGGTCACCACTCTATCCGCGGAGAAAGACCTCGCGGACCTCGCCTCGGCCGGTGGACGACGTGTGACGACGCCCGCGTAGGATGTCAAGGTCTCTTTCTTCAGACACACGTACGTATTTGGATGGATTTCAGCTTTTCGAAAAGCTAACGGTATCTTCAACGGCCGTTGAACGCCGTTTCTTCGTGCATTCGACTCTCTTGCATTTTCTGGCGCGGCCCAATCGTAAGGGGAATCCTTGCTCGGTTGCATCGTGCGACGACGTTTGACGGATGCCTGAGGTGGATTGAAATTTCATTCGTCGTCGACACGATAACTACAAATTAAAAAACAAACATTTCTAAGTAAACTTCAACGACAGTCAAAGAGTTTATTGATCCTGTAGCCATTTTTGCAAGAAAAATCTTCTACACGAACTCGGTTACTAAGTGGGTAGTCGATTAGTCATCAACGAGACTGAAACTCAGATAATTATTTAGATAGATAATTAAACGTTTCTTTGAAACAAAATTCCTCCTCTTTAAGTAAAAAATACATTTCTAAACAAACCTCAATAACAGTTTATTGATTGTGTAGCCATTTTTGCAAGAAGAATCTTCTATACGAACTCGGTTGCCAAGTGGGTAGGTCGATTAGTCATCAAACTCAACGAGACTGAAATTCAGATAATAAGATAAATAATTATAATAAAAACGTTCTTTTTAAACAAAATTCCTCCTCTTTAATTAGAAAACGCACCTCAGTAACAGTCAAAAAATTTATTCATAATCCAAATGCCATTTTTGCAAGAAAAATCTTCTGCATGAATTCGGTTGCCAAGTGGGTAGGTCGATTAGTCATCAAACTCAACGAGACTGAAATTCAGATAATAAGATAGATAATTATAATAAAAACGTTTTTTTGAAACAAAACTCCTCCTCTTTAATTAGAAGATGCACCTCAGTAACAGTCAAAAAATTTATTCATAATCTAGATGCCATTTTTGCAAGAAAAATCTTCTGCATGAATTCGGTTGCCAAGTGGGTAGGTCGATTAGTCATCAAACTCAACGAGACTGAAATTCAGATAATAAGATAGATAATTATAATAAAAACGTTTTTTTGAAACAAAACTCCTCCTCTTTAATTAGAAGATGCACCTCAGTAACAGTCAAAAAATTTATTCATAATCTAGATGCCATTTTTGCAAGAAAAATCTTCTGCATGAATTCGGTTGCCAAGTGGGTAGGTCGATTAGTCATCAAACTCAACGAGACTGAAATTCAGATAATAAGATAGATAATTATAATAAACACCTTTTTGTGAAACAAAATTCCTCCTCTTTAATTAGAAGATGCACCTCAGTAACAGTCAAAAAATTTATTCATAATCCAGATGCTATTTTTGCAAGAAAAATCTTCTGCATGAATTCGGTTGCCAAGTGGGTAGTCGACTAGTCATCAAACTTAACGAGACTGAAAATTAGATAGACTCAGATAATTAAATAGATCATAGATAGATAGACTCGGATAATTAGATAGATAATAGATAGATAGGTAATTATAATGGACACGTTCTTTGAAACAAGATTCCTCCCCTTTAATTAGAAAACGTACCTCAGTAACAGTCAGAAAGTTTATTGAGAAGCCACTTTTGCAGAAGAAAAATCTACACGCGAACTCGGTTGCCAAGTGAGTAGTCGAATAGTCATAAACCAAACTCCACGAGACTGAAACTTGAAACAGAGGTTTATTTTAGAAAGAGAAAGAGAGAGCAGCACACGTTTTCGTTTCGTTTTCCACGGAATTATCCACCAAATCAGTAAGAAACATCTCGCATGGTTAATTAGAAACCATATGGCGTCCATGTCTGTTCCAAGGTGCTCGAAGTATCTTGAAGGACGAACAGAGGAGCCCGATCGTTGAACCCCCGAATCTTGGAGTTGGAATGCAGAGGTGGATACGCCATCGAGATTGCTCTTTAGAAGGTTTCTCATTACCCGAAATGCATTTCGATATTCGGGCGGGAGACGCAAATTCCGTGAATGATTCGCCCGTTTTTCTCTCCTACCTTTCCGGGGGATATTGCGTGAATTTTACGACGCAGGTTGCGTTGCGACCATCGGGACCAATGCCCTGGGCCCACGTCGTCCTTTTTATTATCCGGCAATGAGGAAGATTCCACGGCCGGTCGAACGAACCAACAAAAAAAAAAAAAAAAAAGAAAGAAAGAGAGAGAGAAGAAAAATACGAAACGAACGGATCCACGTAATCCTGAAATCCAGATATTTCGGCAACTTGGCCCTTCTCGGCAACTTTCGGCGAGAATATCGTGCGTGTGTGCTCGTGAGTCACGCGTGACCTCGCCACTTGGCTTTCCACGCGTGCGACGATTCACATTTTATCCCGGGAACGGTTCCCTCCTTGGATTTCGACTATTTTCATGGTTCGTGTCGTTCAAAAGTTCGTTAGCCCGTCGTGTTACGTACTACGATTGTCGTTAACCCCTCTGCGAGCACATCTAACTTTCAACGTTGACTAATCTTTCAATACTATCGATATTTTATTAAATAATCCAATTTTTTGCCACGAGGTGGCGTACGCATCTTGTTCTAATATCTCCTTATTGTTAGTGACCAATAATAATATCAGGTTATCAATTCTAACCTGCAATATCGAAATAAATGCTTTTGCAAATTGTCTGCAGACAGAAGCTAAAGGAATCATCTTGCCCAATTGTCATTATATTTTCTTCTGTCGGTGTTCGTTAAACATGAAAAAGTGTACATAGTAGTTCTTGGTTTGTACATCAATTAATATCTCATTTGTTTGCACTTTGACAATCATTCTTTTATTATTTTCATATGATATAACTTTGCGACTTTTTCAAGTGTATTTGCAATAACGCTTGTGTTTTCTTTGGTTTTTAGTTTTGTATATCAGACACCTAAGATAGGAATACAAAGTCGTGCAAAAACAAAAGAACAATAAGAATAAGAATCATTAGTGGTAGATCCGAAGAGTCTTTATTATTTTTTGACGAAAGTCATCTAATAATATTTACTCAACGATATATAAATATCGTGACGATGAATTTAGTGATAAATCGTCAGATGAGAGTGCAAAGAGGTTTCAGAAATAAAATGTTCATAGTGCAACGTATATCTATGTTTAACACAGAGCACAAACTGTTTTATGGAATTCCATACTTAAATTTTTATACACACAATATTAAAGATATCATGATATGATAGACACATAAATATTACATATTACAGCGTTATAGTCTAAATTGTCACCAGAATTTTTAAAACAGATTACTGAAAGGAGTGAAATTTTGAACGCTAATAGATCTCATGATAAAGATACAAAATTAATCTTGAACCGATTTAAGCCAATCATGTGTGTATATCGTATTAATTTATTATATTGGAGTTTCAGGCATGTGTTTATAAGCCAACCATATATAGGAGACATCCGTGAAAAAAGATCATGGGACACCGTAGGCGTCCGTGAGTCGAACATCCGATCCCCGAATATCTTCGAGTCTTCCTCCAGTTCTGCGGTACTCAAGCAAAAGTAATTCGTTGTTTTTGAAAGAGCACACTTACTTTTACATCGCGTATTTCACGAAATAAGGGAAAGGATGACAGCAACTTTCACTGATTTTTGTAACGAAACGTCGATACGATATGTTCGTATTTTGCATATTATTACAACGAACCATACGTATTCAAAATTTCTCCCCTCGTAGGAATCTCGGCAGTTAGAATCAAAGAGAAGAAAAAAAAAAGAAGAAAAAAAAAATAGATATTAAAACTGACAACTAAGTCCTGATCTCGAGTTGTGGAAGCTTGAAAGGGGCTATCGTTCATTCGACAAAACGATTAACCGATTCCATCCTTTTCATTTCGCCGTCCAAGTGTTCATCCTCGTTTTTTTGCTTCTGTTTTCTCGGTCGGCTCTTCGTTTGAACGGAACAGCTCGTGAACACCAGCCACGGATAAAGCAGGATAATCGGCAAGGACTCGTAACCTGCTACCCAAAACGAAACAAATAGAAAAATGAACCGTGAAACGCTCGAGATATATGGACGAGAAACCTGGCGAACAAAGAACAGAGGATACACGACATTGGAAGACGAGGAAATAAAACATCGAGGAGAGGAAACATAAAAATGAAATACAACGTTTGGAAGCGAGATCTCGCAAAAATTAATTAGTTTTAGTTTAATTGCTATTCAAGGGATCAAATGGTCGAAATCAAAAATTAAACGTGAGAAGATTTTCTATCATGTTTTTATTGGTATTTTATTCATATTTCAAAAGTAAACTTCAGAGACTACACTTATTAGAATCTCTTAATCTGACTAATGTGATTCCAGGAAGAAGTAAATTTTTCTCTTTATTTTTTCTCTACAAATGCACGAGCAGTCGAAACGAAGGATCTCGCAAAAGAGAATGATACGTCTTTTAATACAATTAATTTCGTTGGCTGATAACTCGGAGGACGGAGGGACGAGATAAAAGATTACCGGTACCTAAATTTGACGGTGCTTACACGGTCCAGCACTTAAGTGTAAATAAAAAAGCGATATTTAAAGAGTACGTGTCTCCTCCATCCTGAAACATTTCAATTTCCGTAGCAGATTGCAGTGGATTTTTCAAAATAAGCGATCCTCGACTTTCGTATGTACATTTTACTTTTGTATAACTCGCTATTTCGTACGTGTTTCGTATTGTATTTACAAGTTAGATTTTTATCAATATGTATCTCCTCCTCTCCACGACAAATATGAAATACAACATGAAGGGAAAGAAACTGATAACAAACTCATTGTTAAGATTTTAACAATCAAGAATATGAAAGAAGCCTTCATGCGTCTTGACAAATTTTTCATCATGGAAGAATGTGATATCCCAATAGAGAGCGTGTATCTCATGTACGAATGACAATAGAAAAGGACATAGCGTGTTACAGAACTCTTTATCAAGAAAACAATTCAGCTATTTTGATAAATTTGTAAAGAAAACATCAGGTACTAATCGATAATACTAACTAATAAATAACACTTTAATATGCTTATACACTATATTAAAAAATAAATATTCTAAAAACAATATTTTTGATGTTTCTTTTTACATTGCTTCCCTTTCGTTTCAGGAACCAATTAGGTACGAATGTCGCCTGTAATTTCCAACAATCCCCGAGATCCTATCATCCCATCTGGATTCTTCTTAGCTGCCAAGGAATACCTTCGTACTTCACCGAGTGCAGAAATTAGAAAATGCCGCTGGTTTCTTTTCCCAGGAAAGACAAGTCCAGCAGCAGTTGCTCAGCTGTCACGCGCAAGCGTTCGTAAACGTTTTGTACGCACAATTTATTTCGCCCCCCTACTGACGCTGGGCAAAGTCAAACGATCACACTCCAGACGAAATTGCATCTCAAAGAAGGTGGTCCACCCGTTTCCATCGGACACTCCAATGAATTTGGAGAAGCATTACGGTATGCATTTTCATTGCTCGTGCGATTCTTTGAAGGATCTCAGGCAGGGTCTGCACCTCAGTAGGGGGAATCAAAACGAAGAAAACATAGGTAAGTGGCTAAGCGTGACAAAAGACGTCGATACTAATTCCTCGACGTATCTTTCGCTTCTTCGCGTTGTGAATAATGACCAGTCACAATATCGTCAGATTCAGCAGAGGAAAAGAGAGAGAGAGAGAGAAGAAATCTACATAAAAAAATACGAGCAAGATTCGAGGAAGAAAACGTCGACAGACATAAATAGGAGTTGGCAGGCCGAGTTGGCAGGACAAATTTACAGAGAGTCGTAGGAGCCAAGTTATTTTTACCTGGACAAAAGACGTTCATTGTACGATTTTTCTCTCAAGTAAGTTCTCTTCTTCTCTCGGAGAACTTAGCACCTTTCTTAGAGGAGGAACTCGTTCCTCTCTTAGATGCTCGCCGACCGAGCTACCTTGTAATCTAGCGGCTAGCACGATGAGATCCTTGCTTTCTTGCTTCGAAACGTTCGCTTCGTTTCTTTTGCGCACTTGTTCCACGACGGAAACTGACGAAGATACTATTTTCTACGTCGACGACTATTATCCTTTGCATTCTAGATAGTTTTTGCCAGTGCCAGAATCTTTACAACGTAGGCAATTATTATTTACTCGGTAGTATTAGATTCTATTTCATTTATCAAATTTAGTATAATTTAGTATAATTTTAGTATATTTACTCACAGTCAGTCGTAGGACTTATTCATTTATCAATGTAATTTCATTAAATTGACAAATTTAATTTAATTAATTTGATTTATATTTTAGAAAAAAATAAGAAGAAAGAAGGAAAAATTATCCATTACCAAATCTGCATCAATAAGCAAGACAAAATTGTTTTTGGTTTCACGATAACTTATAAACTGTGGAATGGCACGTTCCAGCAGCGCAGAATTACCAAGAAATAGAAACTCCCCTATGGAGGGTGGCATTCTTTTGTTGTACAACACGTAGGTATGCACTTCACTCGGAATGTTCTTGGAATATCATGGAAAAGATGAAAGATCTTTCTTGCAGATGACTTCATAAGCCGCGTTGTTCCGTGTTACACACTGATTCCATCACGCTTTGATCATATCCGCCGTCTTCTCCGCGCTTTTCAGGCTGGTGCGTCGTCACGTAGCTTGTACCGTTACTGTTACTCGCGTGTGCGCATACATATCTGCACTACCAAAACAGAATTCATATTGTACAAAACACTGAAGAAAAAAAAAAAGAATAACACAATGTATTTTCGGTTTACATATTAATCCGTTGGCGATTGATGAATTTTCATTCGGCATGTATAGGGTGGGCCAAAAGTTTCTTTCCACCTATTTTTTTTTTTTTTTAACATCAAAATAATTGTATTCATTTCTTTTAAAAATTATGTATTATTACTAGAAAAAAACTAATTTTATATATATATATATGTATCTTTTTAAAATATTAAATTAGTTTTCTAGAATTATAATTATTAAAAGAAAAAACTAAAGATTAAAAAAAATCATGGATTTATTTTAGTAGGAAGTTGGTAGGAATTTTGGTCCTTCCTTCCCTATATTATGACACTTAGGCGAAGATGTATCTTTGTTTAAAGAGCAGTTCGAATAAATTTGCTTAGATTGGACAAAAAGAAGCGAAGCTTTTGTAAAAATTGAAGGTCGTCGGTGCATTTGAGAATTAGTGAGATGGAATTCCCCGCGAGATTCGGCCCGGCGAGCGTTCTAACAACGTGAATACATTTTTGCAGAAGAGAGGGACGACGTAGCGATAAAACAATTAAAAGGAGCTGAAGGACCAAAGGGATGAGACGTAGCGCAGGAGGGTCCGGCAACGAAGAAAAATAAACGACGAGAACGAAATAAGAAAAATAAGAAAAGAGTAGAAGTGGTGAACTCGAACTCGTCAAGGACCAGAGGTCCTTGCTCTCCGGGTCATAGCGAGCTACAGACTCACAATACTTTCTGCACTTCTGGCTAAACCAGAGGCTCTCAAATTTATCCTATTTTCGCGTGTATTTTCTTTTTTTTTTTCACGTCATGGGGAATTTACAGACACAGCGAGCGACAAACGAGTAAGTTAGGGATTCGAAATAATTTATTTTTTTATATCTTTCCTTTAATTTATGGTGCTTCTATAAATACATCATGTTACTGTACATCACTGAAAGATTGTTTCTCTTGTTCTTCACAAATTATATATTTCTGAAACAGAAAATTTATAGTAATTTACGAGTTTTGCTACCTACTCGTAAATGAAACTTACAAACGAACTGCGACGTGAGACGATTATTGAAATATCTTGCTAACGCGACAATCTTAAATCCTTTAAGTGCTTCCTAATCGACCGGTTGACAACCGGGTAACAAACTGCTCCTCCATTAATCTGTCAACACGTGCAGAGCACGTGTAATAAACTCGATGATAAAAAATTATCACCATTTCGATGATTATGATATTTTAAGTATATTTGAAAAATGCTATCCTCCACATTATTAAGATTTTCTATGATTCGAAATTACTTATCCATACAGTTATCCATAAATCATTATTAGATATTGAAAAACAATATGTTAATTGACAAATTTTTGGAAATAGGTTCGAATCGGTGAAAACTGGAATGAAATTTGCCGCGAATGTTCGACCAAGAACCCGAGACCGGTTTTGCATGTACGTTCGAATGTTGCCTATCTGTAGGCGCGTGTTAATTTTTGTAAAACCACGTAGAAATGTAATTAACTTAACTGGAATATATAATTAATTTGAAAAAGCTGGAAAATTTGAAAAGATTTAACGAAGAAATATAAGGTTTTCGATACCAAAATAAATTTTTTAAAACAGGTTAAAAACGATAGTACAACAAGGTGTAATGTGCCATTGTGAATCAATTAATCAATGATAGAACGATTAATTAACGAGCACAACGAGCAATTGAGTTGGACTCGTTGGATTCGGGGTGTAAAGGTGGTACAAACGCTCACCGCGGGAGACTTTCGAAACTCGGTTAGCATTGTTTCATTCTTAGGTGTCTCGTTTCTTCTTGTGACCATTCTCACCGAGCGCCGCGATAATCTTTGTCTGGTAACAAGCCGTCCTGTTTCCTTACATAAAGGAACAAGGTGAGAATCCTTGTTAAACTCCATGCTCCGAGCTCTCTCGAGCTCAATGTTCCTTCTTCCGGGAAGTATAATTCGGTTCCTTGCGAAATCTCCTCTTTTTCTGTCTTTTTCTTTTCTTTTCTTTTCCATGCAAATTCGCCGATTGAAACGTTCGATTCTCGCGAGAAAGCGAGATATCCTTGACGATATATATCGCAACATTCGTTGCCAATGACGCCTCAATCACTTCTTTTACGTTAGCATGTTTCCAGACGTTCGACTCGTTTTAGGTTATGTTAGGTTTAGGTCAGGAGATCTGATCCTATCGGGATGGATTCAATCGCGATAAACTGCGTCTAAATGAACTTAATGATATAAAAAGTATATATATATATATATATATATGATTTATTTAAACCTTTTAAATAAATCTGCACGATAATAGCGATAGTGATGAAAAAGAACGATCCTTGAGCTGCATATTTATAGGTCATGCTATAGCAGCTTTCTAAGTTCGTTGAATGTTTTTTTACATGCACAAACATGTTTCGAATGTTTCTTCGAAAAACATAAGAGGAAACTTCACGTTTGTTGATTTTCTAATTTTTGCGTCGCTGAAAATGGCAACAGGAAGGTTATTAAATAATTCTAAGATGCATGATTAGTAAACGAATGAGAGCAATGAAAATGTGAACAATTTAATATTATATGATATTATATGATATTAAATATTATATAATATATTAACATATGTATCATATATATAAGCTAGTATATTATATAGCATATATTACATTATAGTATATAGTATAATATATATATTAGTATATTTATATAAAATTATATCATATAGCATATATTATATATAAGTATATATTATATTATATAGCATATATTACATTACAGTATAGTGTATAATATATATATTAGTATATTTATATAAAATTATATTATAGTGTCTAACATATATATTAGTATATTTATATAAAATAGTATATCATATATTAGTGTATTATATAATATGTATTATAGTATATATTATACTATATTATACGATGTGGTATATTATGATATAATATAATATACTAATATACATAATTCTTATGATATACTTAAATAGTAGATATATCCTTTCTTCGAACAAAATGATGAGAAATTACAAAATTTGTTAATCGCCATTACAACCGCCATCGTTATCATTGCGAGTCGTGCACACATAGCCAATCTTATCGCTTTGAATTTCTTTTACATTACGAAGCAATTTATCAGCCACGATCCGAACGAGCACGACAATGAGATGTGAGAAGAAAATGAGCGACGAGAAGTCGGCGAATTTCATTCAGCGATCAAGTGTGTTTCACCACTATTTTCACCGAGTTATCGCGTGAAGAAGCGGCTGGAACCGCTTTGCACCTTCACGATGAAAGAAACCGTGAAGGTCTTCTCTCGAGATCGTTAAAACGCTGAGCAACATCGCCACTCGTTTTAAGATCGGTCGTCACGGTACTAAACGAAAAGATCGCACGATTCTGCACGGGTTAAAAAAAAAAAAAATCAGTCCTTTTTTGCAAAACGAAAAACAGTCTTTCTTGCAAACTTTGCGTTCGTTACCATCGAACGAGGGATAAAAAAAATTAGGGTTTCGCGAGTAACGATTAATCTCCATCTTGTATCTTCGCTTTCGAAATAATGAGAAACGATCTGTTTCGTTGGCTGTTCGCTACAAACCAACATACTTGGACCTTGCATAATGTCCAATCTAATACCTGGAAGATATTAGATCGACGATCATTCCGATATCCGCTCGGTGAATGCTTCTCGCTGTTCTTATTCCATAAATCCTTTGCATAAATCACCTCGTTCCTGTTATCATAGTAATATCTGATCTTATATTGTTCGATTGTCTAATGACGAAATAATGGAATCACGTTAGATTTTAGTCAGATTTCGAGACGGAGGAGAATGAAAGCTCTTCGTGTAATACAGGATGAGCCAAAAATTTCTTCCCACCTATTTTTTCTTCTTTTAAGAAACAGTGAATGAAACTAATTTTATTAATTTCAAATTAAATTTAAGTCCAGACTGACGATTCTTTCATTCTTTCATTTGTTATTTTATAGTAAGAAGTGATTTTTAGAGCCACCCTATATAACAATAATGGAATTATATTTTGATTGACAAAGTTCAATCATTGAACAAGGATTCAGTAAGTTTGAACATTAAAGAATTCAAAATGGCGGAAGCTCTACGAACATACAGGAGGCGTTTCGTAAGATGTATCTTTTACGATAAAAAAAATGTATGGTATTAAGAAAAAAAAAATAATAAATAAAGATGACCTTGGAAACTTTGAACTCCCTTCAAAACACGCAAAAAATTGATAGACGCCATATTTTGCCACCCATAACCTCTTCCAAAAATGCAATATTTTCTCAGTTTTAAGTATATTTAAGTAAAACGAAATAGGCAAAACAAATAATAAACTGATTATTTCTCAATAATTTCTATCCAGTGATATCATACCGACGAGTTCAAAAAGAAAGCGACGAATTATTGTGTACGGTTTGGTCATTCGTTATGGTCCGCAATCAGTTGCCAGTGCAAGTGGTTAATTTCTCATGCCACGTCGAGAATTTTTTTGTTTCAAAATTGTAATATTTTCTCAGTTTTAAGTGTATTTAAGTAAAACGAAATAGGCAAAACAAATAATAAATTGATTACTTCTTAATAATTTCTATCCAGTGATATCGTACCGACGAGTTCAAAAAGAAAGCGACGAATTATTGTGTACGGTTTGGTCACTCGTTATGGTCCGCAATCAGTTGCCAGCGCAAATAGTTAACCTCTTGCGCTGGAATGACGTGCCACGCACGTCAAGAATTTTTGTCCCAAAGTTGTAATATTTTCTCTGTTTTAAGTGTATTTAAGTATAACTCAGGCAAAACAAATAATAAACTGATTACTTCGCAATAATTTCTATCCAGTGATATCATATCGACGAGTTCGAAAAGAAAGCGACGAGTTATTGTGTACGGTTTGGTCACTCGTTATGGTCCGCAATCAATTGCTAGCGCAGTAGTTAACCTCTTTGCGTTGGAATGACGTGTCACGCACGTTGACAATTTTCTGTTACAAAATTGTAATATTTTCTCTGTTTTAAGTATATTTAAGTATAACTCTGGCAAAACAAATAATAAATTGATTACTTCTCAATAATTTCTATCCAATGATGTCATATCGACGAGTTCGAAAAGAAAGCGACGAGTTATTGTGTACGGTTTGGTCACTCGTTATGGTCCGCAATCAGTTGCCAGCGCAAGTAGTTAAATACCACACAACTTCCGTATCGAAACAATTTCTCGTCAGACGCGTAATTAATTTAAAAGTTAGTTCGGGCGTGCAAGTTACGTGAATCACCCTGTACATATATAATATATACGCGCGGTTAATCGGTCGTTTCATCGAGCCGATTTTCCGTCGCGATGCAACGAAATTGCATAGAAAGCAGGAAGGAGGATCCTTGTGCGCGTTTGGCCTTTCGTAAAAGGAAAAGAAAACAAGATCGCACCGTGTTCACACCGTGGACAAAGCCAATGCAATTTTTCAACCGCCGTTGCTGAATCACGCGCAAAGGAACAAAAAAGAGAATATCTGTCGCCGGGCAATGCAATGCTCCAACTAATAGCGATCGAACTATCGGACTATCAAAGTAGAAGAACTACTTTCAGAACGCCTTCGACTTAATTCCGTAAATATCCATCGGTTGACAATTTTTACGATGATATCCGGAGTTTTGCCATCCGGATGAAATTCGCTTTTTGCAAAATGCTAGCAAAAAGCAGGAATCCTATCGTTCCGATAGCATTGAGGGCGAGTCATCGACGACAGATCGACAAAGCGATGTGTTTTTTTTTTCTCCTCCCTTCTACCTACTGATCGAGTCATCTATTCCGAGCATCATATATACAGGATGGGCCTGAATTCCGTAGTACAACCGAGCGGTCTCTAGATTTTATTTTACGGGGGCAACGAGCAAGTTTATAAAGACAATATTTCAAATATTACACATTCGAAGCAAAAGATTATGGAGGAATTCGAGAAATTGAAAAACAATATCAGCTGAACATTCTGTTCAGGTATCATTAATTCGTCGAGCAAACTTTTGTATGCAGCAACGAGGTGGACATTTTCAACGATACACGTAACAGTATACCATATTGTAGTATTGCAATAGAAAGTAGCAATAAGGACTAAAAAATTATCAGTAGAAACACTCTGTACTACGGCTAATCACACAATAAATAATGTTAGGATAATAGGAATAAAAAATCACACAATAAATAATGTTAAGATAAATAAGGAATAAAAAATTAATTATCAGTAGGAACACTCTACTGCTTTAACCACGCAGTAAATAATTTCTGTAAACACTATCTGGAAGACAAAACACGGTAGAAGAATAGACAACTAAATCGTTCACAAAGATGAACAAACTTTGAAGTCGATTTTCTCGAAAACCGCGAGCCCGAGATGAAGAAAATGTTGTACCAAATTGTTTCTCTTATTTGTTTAACGTAGAATCACCCCCTGCTCGGTTGTACTACGAATTCCCGCCCACCGTGTATATACCGAGTGTACCCAACAGACAGAGAGTTCTCGATAGAAGAAACCAGGTATGTTCTCCAGGGAGGCCTTCCTATGCCAGTAGAGATCGGACCTGCCGGAAGAGTGGGGAGCTCATATAAGACACGAAGCCAAACGCCTCTCCCAGTGACCAGTCTCGACACGAAAACTCATCAGCCGAGCTTCTTCCACGGGGTTCTCCCACAAGAACCACTTCGTTCATCCAGCATCTCGCTACATTCGAAACAGGACGGTCCAGTTCGGATTGAAATTCGAGTCGATTCGAGAGATTCGAGAGTCAAATTGGTCCTCGCCCAAGGCCGTAGCAGGTCTTGCCAATCGCAATGGTGCCACAGTCGCTGATTCTCTCGTTACTCGTGCTGTTCCTCGCTGCACACGGTGAGTCCCTTTCGCGCTACTTTGCTTTTCATCTTGCTCCTCCTTCTCCTCCTCTTCTTTTCGTCTCTCTTCCTCTCTACATTTCCTCTCCGTCATCTCTCCTTTACTTTCTTCTTCTTCTTTTTTTCTTTTTCTTCCGACGGATTCTAGAGAATTGAGGAAAAAAAACATTCACGTTCGCGACTCGAGGGAGTTACACTCCTTGTAAAGGATGTCGAGGGAAGCAGTAAACGTTTGTACTGTTTACATTGTTCAATTATCGCGCGTCGAGTTAAAAAAAAAAAGAATTATGATAAGGTGTGTTTAATCGGATCGAGCGGCGGACTCGAGGTGGCAGCTCGAGAGCGCGGAAACACACGCCGCCGCGCCGGGTGCAAGTGAAAACGGACTTTCTGCGATCAGACGAGCGCGTTTCTCGCGGCCGCCGGGGATCGAAAAAGTGCGCGTCGGCCTACTTTCGCGGCCTCCTCGACGCGCAACAGCGACGATCCTCCCGATCGCTCTCGCGTGTAATGGCCGATGGCCTCTTCGATCCAACACCTCCTCGTCGTCTCCTCGTCTTCTCGACGATTCGTTCGAGATTCGATTTAATTACCACTCCTTCTCTCCCTCTCCCTCTCTCTCTCTCTCTCTCTCTCTCTCTCTCTCTCTCTCTCTTTCTCTGTGCATCGAATACACGCTCTGCTTACGTTTCACCGCTCGTTTTCACGTAAATTTCACTTCCTCGAAGCGAGTTCGTTCGTCGGCTGCGCCGATGTTTCAAACGAACTCGAAAACGAGTCGAGATCGTTCGATCAAATCATTCAGCTTTAAGAATGATCGCGACACGAGTTCAATTGAAAATCAGAAGTAGCGAACGATTCTGAAATGTTGTTAAGCTCGTTGAATAGATTTTGGAAGATGTTTATATAAACATTGTAATAAATATTTCATTATAATATTGTTACTAATGTTTTATTATAATAAATATTTTACATTTATTGTTAATAAAACATTATATTATAATAAATATTTATTGTTAATAAACGTTATGATATTATAATAAATATTTGAAAAATATAAATATATTGAATATATTAAATATGTATATATTATTACTCAATATATATATATATATATTATATATATAATATTAAATATAATAAATATTCTGGAAAATATTATGATAAATATATTTGCTTCATCAAATATCAAAATATATTCAAATATATTTTAAAATGTACTTGAATATATATTCTAAAATATACAAATATACAAATATATTTTAAAATGTACTTGAATATATATTCTAAAATATACAATAAATACTTTAAAACATACTTGAATATATATTTTAAAATTTAACATTTGATATTTTTAATATTTCAATATTTTAAAATATACATGAATATATATTCTAAAATATATAATAAATATTTCAAAATATACTTGAATATATACTTTAAAATTTAACATTTCATATTTTTTTGTGTTTCATATTCTTAATATTTTAATATTTCATATTTAATATTTTAAAATATACTTGAATATACTTGAATATATATTTTAAAATTTAACATTTTATATTTTTTTATATTTTATATTTAATATTTTAAAATATACTTGAATATATATTTTAAAATTTTACATTTCATATTTTTTTATATTTTATATTCTTAATATCTTAATATTTCATATTTAATATTTAAAATATATACAATATCTTAAAATATATTTGAATGTACATTTTGTACATTTCAAAATATACAATAAATATTTCAAAATATATTGTCTCTCATCGATCGTCGGCCGTTTTAAATCTCTCTCGTTTTTCGTTGCACAATCTCCGTTATCGTTCACGGCGCTCGTCACTTGGAAGAATGCCCCTCTTCCAGTAATTATTACACGCGTATTCGTAAGACAATGATGAGCGTTCACCGGTGCTTCACACATCTCCAGAACTTTCTCCCGTGTCTCGGGAGTGAAAACATGAAAGTAGCTCAACAGATAGATCACACACTCTTTCTCTCTTTCCTCTCTCTCTCCCCCTCCCTCCACCTCAATCTTTTTCTCGATGTTTTTGCATCTAGTTTGCACGATGATAAGTAAGATGGCTGATTAATTTTTCGATGAAAGAACATTCGACGAGAAATAGCAAAATGTTCTCTCATCGGTTTAACAACGTTTCGATTTTGTAGATTTTAACGCGATCGTTATCGTAACGATAACAATCGATAGCCAACAAAACACAGCGAAATGTCACTTGCCTGTCTGGTCTCTTCAGTTGCGAAACACACGGGTAAAAGTACTTCCTGTTTCGTAATTCTTTCCAAGTAAATTAATATTTGAACGCATAATATTTACTAGGGCGATGCTTTTTCGATGCTTTCACTTTTTACGTCGAAAATACGATCAGGCGAATAAACGATCATTCGACTTTACTAACTGGGAATGCGCACGTATCGCAATTCCCTCGGATCCTAGTATTATATGTACATACGGGTAAGTTTTCCAGCAGCACCAAATTATTTTCGACGCGTTTGTAAAACAAACGTGTACTCTCAAGTCGTTCGTTCGACTATCTTCACTCGTCTTCTCTAATTACCTTGGTCTTCGTTTCCGTTTTCAGGCGACATTTTGAAAAAAATGTTTTAATCGTTTCTATCGATCGAAAATTAGTCAGAGATCGCTGTAGTTCCATACTGTGAATGTTGAAGTGACTCTCTTTCTCTCTCTTCGATTCACAGTCGCTCTTTACGTAAGAAATTCCACTTTCTATCGTGTGTGTGTCGTAGATGAAATTTTATCACAGAGATATTATTCATTCTCGAGGAACAGTCGTATCTGCTCATTCATCCCGAACAATTTCCGCAATCAGTTCACTTCCCTTCGGTGCCAAGTGCCGCGAGACAAGAATTCTCGAGTGATAAGAATCGTTCACGGTCGCGTTTCTCGTTTCCCTCGATTTACACGCGAGCATGCATTTGCTTCGATACGAGTGCCTGGACCAGGAAAACTCTGTCACAATCTGAAAGGAAAAATACTGCCATTATCTCCGAGTTGGCCAGTGGGAAAACTGCGAGACGAGAAGGAGAAACGTTCCTCGAGCAACGTAACCTCGGGAGGAAAAGGAGCGCGGGAAAGAAGTAAAAGGAGGCTGGTGGAGATCCAAGCCAGAGAAAGATGAAAGAATGGAAAAATTGCTGCTGCGAAACCGTTCCTACCAGTTAACCAGACGATTAACACGCGTTACATTAAACGTACGTTCGAGCATTTTTACGTATCGCGAATTTTTTTACAGAAAAAGGTGAAAAGAGTTATACGTGAGACACGAATTATTAACAGCGAAATTTTTGCAATTTTTTAAATGAAAATTTAATTTCCCAATTTTTTCCTTTTGTAGAACAATAAGAATTATGTAACAATAATTTTTGATAGCACAACATACTATTTCTTTAAATCATTTATATATCTGTATATTTATATTTGTATGTATAATTGTCTTCTTTCATGGATGTCATGTTTCTTTGTTTAAGTTTGTTCAGACCAAGTTAATGGCCTTTTTCTCAGGCTTCCTCCATGTCAAAAATTCACTTTTTTGAATAATAAGAGTTATGTACAATAATTTTTAATAGCACAACATACTATTTCTTTAAATCGTTTATATATCTGTATATTTATATTTGTATGTATAATTGTCTTCTTTCATGGATGTCATGTTTCTTTGTTTAAGTTTGTTCAGACCAAGTGAATGGCCTTTTTCTCAGGCTTCCTCCATGTTAAAAACTCACTTCTTGAATAATAAGAATTATGTACAATAATTTTTAATAGCACAACATACTATTTCTTTAAATCATTTATATATCTAATATATATATAGATATATATTTAATCTCATTCAATCATCTCCTATCAACAACCACAAACAAAACGGAAATGCAAAAAAAATTTTTTCCCCCAAAAATATTTTTCTGATAGCACAACATACTATTTCTTTAAATCATTCATATATCTACGTTCATTCGTGTATTTAATCTCATCCAAGCAATGAACATTCCTAGCAATGAAATAGGAATGTAAGAGAGATAATAATCTAAACTTTTGACGTGGAACGTTGCACTTTTGCGGAAGGAACGCGAAAAGGTGGGGCTCTGTGTATCTCTTTACGTCGACGTTCATTTATTCCCACCGATCAGGAAGGAATCGAAGGAACACGGTGAAACGTGTCAACCAACGCGACATTTACTCCCTGTAGCAAGATTCTGTCGTCTCGCCGATACCGGTACCGGTACCGCCAGAATTTCCCCGCGTAACCAAACCTGTCCTTGCATTTTTCATCCGCCGATTAACCTGTCCTTGCTTGAAAATACATACACAGTATATCCAGAGAGAGAACGGCGGAGAGAGAGAGAGAGAACGGCGGAGAGAGAGAGAGAGAGAGAGAGAGAGAGAGAGAGAGAGAGAGAAAAGAAAAAACCGATCGAGATTCGCTTCTGAACGTGTAAAATGGGACAAAGGAATATGATTTTCTAACCGATGGAAAGTCGATTTCAATGGAGAAATAACGTGTCGTGTATTTACTGAGAAAGTATATGCCATTAAACTTACGTTGGTTTGTGCATCAACTTACGTTGCCGGAGAATTCGCTTGGAAAAGCGTGCAGATCGACCTTTCTCTTTGAATATCTCGCATATCCACGCAACACGTTATACCGATATATTTTACGCCTTTGCGCTTACTGTTAAATCTGTACGCGTTGCAATATTTATGCACGATTTCATTCTCTGCTAGCTTTGTCGATGATTTCGAAACGAACACTTTCCATCTCGAATTATTGTCAAAAGCGAAGAACACTCGCCGAGAGAACTTATTATTGAAATACTTGTTAAGGGAGACGAATATATATATATTTGTTCACCTTTCTTAATAATAATACAAGATGTTTTATTCAATGATGTTCTTCTCGAGAGAGACAAACAAATATATTTTATATATATATGTATTTACAAATATTTAAGTTTAGATTAGATTTAGGTTAGGTTTAGATTAAGTTAGATATATATGTTTATACAGAAATAAACATACATACATATATATATATATATATACACATAACCTAACCTATCCTAAATCTAAACCTAAATATACATAAGTATTTCAATACCTTACCTAAATCTAAATCTAACTTAAATATCTTACCTAATCTAACCTAACCTAGATGATACCTTATTTAAACCTAAATATACATAAGTCTTTGAATACCTTATCTAAATCTAAACCTACCCTAAATGATATCTTACATAATCTAACCTAACCTAGATGACACCTTATTTAAACCTAAATCTAAATTTACATAATTATTTTAATACTTTACCTAAATCTAAACCTTACCTAAATGATACTTTATTTAAACCTAAACTTAAATATAAACAAGTATTTCAATGATATTTCTCGTCGAGAAAAACGAACAAAGATATATATATATATATAATGCAAATACATAAATATATGAATACATCTTCGATGGCAAAGATTAAAAGATAGTAGAAGCCATAGAAGACACGTACATGTTAACTATGGAACAAGAATTAGAGATACCTGCGTTGCTTTTGATTTTCTATTGTTAAACACAAGCGTTAACACAGGTTCTACTACGAGCACTTACTTCTGTACAAAGAGTCGTAAAGGAAGGGAAAGTATCCCGGTACCACGACACTACATTAATAAGAGTCACCGGTTACATAACCAAGCTGCCTAACCGAGGATGTGTCCACCTACAAAGTCAATAGGCAACGCATATACTTCAACACATCAACATTTAACGATTTAACATGCGATTTCTGTCACTTACTCACTCGCCTAACGCTTATTATTACATCTATAAATGCACCTGAAACACTTCCTACGTTCTCTCTCTGCTTTACAAAATTGTGTACAACGTTACGCAAAGTGAGTTTAAATTCCTCGTAAATCCTAACCTCACTCTTAATCTTTTATTTTTTCCTCTTTTTTTTTTCTTGCTCGTTGAAATGTGTGAATGTTACATCTTCTAACACAGCGTATTGTTACGTTCTGCGTATTAGTACTCGCTGGAAGCAACGTTCCACGGTGTATATATTCCAGAGTTTGGAAAGGCGCGCAGAATATTCTGGCGCTGCGTTCGCTTTTTCCCAGCCAATCCCCGTTACACAAATATTCATCGTCTCTTTTTTTTCTTGCGATAAACTCTTAATTTATTTCTTGAAAGCGAATGAGAATATCGTCCGTAAGGTGCCACGAGTGTCCGTGATCCGATGAGATATGTCACAAGAATCATCTTGTTTCGTGGCTTTAGTCACGCGTGCATCCTTGACATTCAACTACCCGGTTCTAAATGAGTCTTCATTCCAGCATTCTAAAACTCGTTTGAACGTATCGTTCTCCAAAGCCTCTTCTGCCTTGCATATCACGAAAGAATATATCAGTCGCCTACTCAATGAAACGAAAAACATCCGTTACTTTTATATCTTTTAATTTTTTTCATTCTTATTACTTCTGTTAAACGTCAGAACTAAAATTTCCTCAGCTGCGTCTGTATTCTGTAACCTTTTCAACTTCAAAGTTCTTTGCAATAGGCAAAGTCGTATCGTTTGGCCAAAATATTTCGAAACGAAGACTTTTACTTGGAAAAGAGGAAAGGAGAGTTCGTCGTTCGCTTCTGGACTCGAGAAAGTGACCGAGCAACTTCTCTCCCTTCCCTCCAATTTCTTTCATGTGTTCGGTCATTTTCTTCGGTTTGAATCGATCGACAAAGGCGATATTCGAGAGTGATGAGAATAGAGATATCAGAATAGAAAAGCCGACGAATCGAACCGTTGGATTTTATAGAGCACGAGATAACGGAAAGGGGGCGCGGGCTGAAGGTTGCAAGTCAAGGCTAGACACTTTCACTCGCGCCCGTCCTAAGAGTGCTCTCTTGGGAGCGAGCTACGAGCTGCCTTCCCACCTTTACTATGCCGTGTATTTACTTTTCTACCTGGTCTCGGACATCGAATTGCGCCCATTAGCGGAGATATTACGACCGCTTGCCTCGTGGTTGTAACCTCTTGTGGTTAAGCGATTACGCGACCCGGTCGTGCCGTCGTGGGACAAGCAACAAGCCTTACTTGCGATGTAAATTCATTTCACAACTCTCCCTCCATTGTAACACCGCCTTTCGTTTCGGCAGTTTTAATCTTCTTGTCGCAACATCTAGCGCTCACTATATATACTACGTGTATACGTGGTGTACAGTACATGTAGTATACAGTATACGTAGTATACAATATACGTAGTATATAATATACAGTATACGTTGTATATGGTATGCAGTATACGTAGTTTATTTAGCGTACAGTATACGTAGTTTATTTAGTATACAGTATACACAATACAAATATACGCGGTATACAGTATACACAGTACAAACATACGTATACAGTACACACAGTACATAATATACGTAGTATACAGTATACACAGTACAAAATATACGTATACAGTACACACAGTACATAATATACGTAGTATACAATATACACAGTACATGTAGTATACATTATACACAGTACACGTGGTATACAGTATACATAGTACACAATATAAATAGTATACAGTATACACAATACAAATATACGTAATATACAGTATACGCAGTACACAATATACGTAGTATACAGTACACACAGTACACAATATACGTAGTATACAATACACACAGTACATATAGTATACATTATACACAGTACACGTAGTATACAGTATACACAGTATACAATGTACGTAATTTATTTAGTATACAGTATACGTAGTTTATTTAGTATACAATATACGCAGTATACAGTATACGTAGTTTATTTAGTATACGCAGTATACCGACGAGTTCAAAAAGTAAGCGACGAGTTATTTGTCGAGTTTGGTCACTCGTTATGGTCCGCAATCGGTTGCCAGCGCAAGTGGCTAATGTTGCAAGTTTGTAAGATTAATATCTGTTACCAGACGAGTCCTTTTACAGTTTATCTATCCCTGTTAACAGGATCGCACGCTCAGAAGCAGCAGCAGGAGGACCCGTGTCAAACGAAATCCAGAGTGGTTGGCGACATAGAGTACTGCGATCGCTACTGGGAGTGCGTTAACGGGCGTCCAGAGTTGTTCGACTGCCCGAACGGTCTTGTTTTCGCTGGGAAGCATCGTGGCGTGACCGAGGGCTGCGACTATCCCTGGAGAGCGAACTACTGCGACGGGAAACGCCAGGCGAATCCACCGATTCCAGCTGAGCACTGCGACTGGCTTTATGGCATTTTCGGCCACGAGACGTCCTGCACTCGGTACTGGACCTGCTGGAACGGCACGGCCACGGAACAACTGTGCATCGGTGGTCTTTTGTACAACGAAAGGGCCAGATCCTGCGACTGGCCAGAAAACGTCGAAGGCTGTCAAAAGCATCGTGAGTAAATTCTAGAGACGTTACGAATTATGCTACGAATCCCTTATTTACGTTTTTTTCTTATCTCAAGCCTGCATCCTGGTGCTTGCTTTTCTCGCCACGCAATCATGTTCATACTGTAATTAATAATTGCACCAATGTTTATTATATATATGATGAAAATTAGCTTGTCGAATTAGAGATTTCCACACACCTGACAATTGTGTAAACAATCCAGAGCAGAGCTTCTCCAAGTGTGTGGGTCGCTATCCCTAAATTTTAGCAAAACTGAAAAATTCCTGGACCGCGATATTAATTCAGAAGCAGTTTGACACCAGAGAATTATCTCGAACGAATTTCCTTTATGATTTATTGTCAATTATTTGCTCCAGTAAAGGGAATTCCATCGCCAAGTGGAAAAGTTTGGGAAGCCTTGATTTAGAGAATTTACAACCATAAATTTTCTTTCTTTTTTTTTTCCCAAAAGATTTCCAACAATTGTCACGTCATAAATTAATAATACCAGTGTATGACGCTGATTGACTATCCTTTTATGATTTATTGTCAATTATTTGCTCCGGTAAAAGGAATTTCATCGCCAAGTGGAAAAGTTTGGGAAGCCTTGATTTAGAGAATTTACAACCATAAATTTTCTTTTTTTTTCTTCCCAAAAGATGTCCAACAATTGTCACGTCATAAACTAATAATACCAGTGTATGACGCTGATTGACTGTCCCTTTATGATTTATTGTCAATTATTTGCTTCAACAAAGGGAATTCCATCGCCAAGTGGAAAAGTTTGGCAAGCCTTGATTTAGAGAATTTACAACCATAAATTTTCTTTTTTTTTTTCCCAAAAGATTTCCAACAATTGTCACGTCATAAATTAATAATACCAGTGTATGACGCTGATTGACTGTCCCTTTATGATTTATTGTCAATTATTTGCTTCAACAAAGGGAATTACATCGCCAAGTGGAAAAGTTTGGCAAGCCTTGATTTAGAGAATTTACAACCATAAATTTTCTTTTTTTTTTTTCCCAAAAGATTTCCAACAATTGCACGTCATAAAGTAATAATACCAGCGTATCACGCAGACTAATTTCAACAGGATAGATTCCAGAAGCACGTGTTGGAATACACGATCATCGAACTCGAGGCCTGGAATCATTTGTCTTCATAAATAATCGTGTCTTTGCCATTGTTTCGTAAAAATTATGTATCACGAAAACGTAGTATCACAGTAGAGCAAACTCACATTTTCGTGACAGCGTGTGGATTTTTCTTTTTCATGGATTTTCATTCGTTGCCTCTCTCGTCTTTCGCGAAACGCGTAACATTTTGCCAGAGGCGTCGTTCGCGACCATTCTCACTTTCGAAAGCGACCACGTAAGAATACGTACGCGTGTAGGTATGCAGTTCTCGTAGCTGTTTCTCTCTCTCTCTCTCTCTCTCTCTCTCTCTCTCTCTCTCTCTCTCTCTCTCTCTCTCTCTCTCTCTCTCTTTCTTGTGAGGCCAAGAGCTCGTTCGATTGGACGCTTGAAGCCGGTTGAATTAAATCGATGGGCACGACGGGGTAATGACGAACGTAACTTCGGCTGGATTCGTTTCAACGACGACGAGAAGGACTAATCGCGCGTCTGTAAGTGGTTCTAATCGAACGATAATCAAAATGTCGTTTTCTTTTTTTCGTTCTGTTATTACACTGCTCTCTTTCCCAATCGTCTCGCATAAAGATCGATTTTCTGCAAAGTTCGATCGACAATTTCGAATCGTTTCTTTCTTTTCCCGAATTTTTCGAAAAGTTTTCTCGCACGAACGTCACGGGATCGTGAAAAGAGGAACTCGATAGTTGTTTGAATAGATGTAAATTTACGCCAGGTTGAACGATATGAAGCGAAAGACGAATGTTTTACAATTCCATTGGCTTATGGTGAAAGTTCTGCTATTGACAGTAACGGTAGCGAATGAAGAGAGCCGTTGGCTGTGCAGTCTAGACCCTGCCATCGCTCAAACTTAAGTTACGTAAACGCGACCAGGACGATGCACCTGACAGTTCGATCGATGAGAATAATTTAAAGCCAATTTAGGATTTCAATGAACGGGCATAAATGCCATTCGGTTTTAGTTTCCTCGTGCAAAGTTCCTCTTCCCCTCTCTTGCTCTCTCTCTCTCTCTCTCTCTCTCTCTCTCTCTCTTTCTCTCTTTCTTTCTTCGCTGGATGAAAATACACATACATTATTATAACATGTAGAATTCGATTCGATTTCATTTGTTCTTATCCCTTTCTTTCATTCGCTGATATTTTACAAGAAATAATACCAAATAAGTCACAAACAATACTAAATTTATTGACTAGATGCCAAATGTATGACATTTGTTAATTACGTACAGACATTTTGACACATTTAGTCGGATTGTGAGAGAGTTCGTGTAATTTTTGGTCCAAGAACGAGGTGGTACCGTCTTTGAGAAATCGATAACAAGCAACAAGTACGTTTCGTACGACTAGATTATTCCACAGCAAAATTATTGCTTAAAAGAGAACAAGAAAGAAAAAAAGATGGAAAAAAAAATTTACTTTTCCCGGAAATGGACTTTCCAAGAAAGGTAAATTTTTCGGCGCAACAATTATACGCTAGATAATCTGATTCGATAGCATATTTTGATAATGCAATGAATCCTAATTAGATCATCGCGATGGGCGTATTAACAGTTATTATTATAATGGCGTTACAATAGGTAGCTGTTGCGTTAATAACTGCGTTCGGTATGTACTGTATATATATTTTGCGTGGAAAAATTAAATACCATTAAAGTGTAATGGAGCGGCTAATTAGCCGATGAAAGATACGAATGAATAACAAATTCGGGCTGTTATATGCGCGCAAAAGGAATATTCATTTTGTAACGGCGCCGCGTATTAAAACTACGGATGGAATCCGTGATAATTTCGAGCAAAACGGGGAATTTTCACGGGTAAACGCGTGTTTCTTGAAGAATATAATAACGATAAACAACGATATCGTTATTACATGTATACGACAAAACGATCGTGTTTAATGTAACCGAGATACTTTTATGTCATTGATAAAAAGATACGAAATGTACGATTACGAACAAATCAAATATTTCCTGTTTCTTTTTTTCTATTCGTATAATTTACAACGAGCCAAAATCGAATTTGAAAGCAATATCGACGAAACCACGTCAACAAGGTAGAGATTTCCTTTCACTTTGCAAACCTGTACCTATCACTGGTGAAATCCAGGGATTGAACGGTATTTTTCTCGGCAGGATTTTCGTATTGGCCCCCAGGTTGTATTCAATGACCGGTTTAACCATTACGGGCGAACATCCAGCCATAGCGAATTTCGATAATATTTCTCGAGCGTTAATAATTAAAATTAAGTTAAAGTCCAGTCCTAATCGCGGATTAATATCGGTGCCGATAGTTAAGCGGCGCTCGTTAACAAGAGCAGTTAGTCGGCCAAGCAACGATCGACAATTATTCCCTTGGAACGAGTTTACGAATGGAGGAGCCAGGCCACCAGGAAAATTTGAAAACCCGCCGGGCAACAAGACGCGATCAGTTGAACCGAATTGTTTTGACTCTTGCTTCCTTCTCGCTTATTTTCTCTCTCTCTCTCTCTCTCTCTCTCTCTCTCTCTCTCTCGTTCAGCTATTTGCTTCTTTTCTATATCGATCTATATACATATAACGTGTATACATATATATAGATAGATAGATAGAGAGAATCGAGGCGATTAGCCCCGCGGCGTGATTATATGCGGGTCGATATCGATGTCATCGGCGTTGATTATCCAGCAAACGAAAATCCGGTTTCCTCGGTAACCCGTTTCAACCTGGCCATCGTTTTTCTCCGAACCTAACCGGTGGCAGTTGCGCCTCGATCCAACTCCATCACTCGTAGACGCATTCTTTTTTTCTTTTTTTCTTTCTTTCTTTCTTTCTTTCTTTATTTTTTTTTTCTTTCTTCTGAAACGATGTAGATTCGTTTCGTTATATCGGACGAATCACCGGTGGATACCATTTCCTTCATGTCGGCGACAGGTGCCCGGTGTCTCGAGATATCTATTTTCCATATTCAACCTTTCCGCGTTTGTCCCCTTCTTTCAATTCCTCTCCGATTTCTCTCTTTTTTCTCTCGTTGCCTCTTTCTTTCTCTTAACCTATCAGTTTGCGCGTTTCGTTTCCTTGGCATTGCTTTCTCTTCTTCTTCTTTTTTTTTTTCTTTCTTTTGTATCTTCGAATATTTGTTAGATCTTTACGAGCAACGATCGATACTGTCCGTCTGTAGAAATCGTCGACAATTCTTGCCTCTGTTCTCAGTGAATTATCGATTAATTCTCAATTGAGAAAGTCAGTTGTTTGACTTTCGTCAAAATTCGAGTCGCCGATGCGGAATCCATCACAGAGCGATCTTTGAACGGAAACTTTTCGCTAATCAGTCGCATCGGTCGAACGAGTCAAAATTTGGAACGAGGGAAGGAATTTTGACAGTTTTGCTGAATCGTTGCGTTCGTAGGAATTTTCTTATTTGTTCGGCACGGTGACGCGAAATTATTCATACTCCATATACGCGTGCACGGCGTATTTGCAACTACGGGGTGAATAAGGATATTGCGATCGGTAGCGAGTTTGGCAGCGTGGCGAAGGGGTGAAACGAAGGGAGAGAGATAGAGAGAGAGAAAGAGGGAGATGGGACGATGCCAGGGGTTCCGAAGGGCACGCAGAGAACGAGAGAAACGGTACAGAACAAATTTGGTGAATTTCCATATAAATTTGCTGGCCAGTAGCGACACACATATGTACGTATACTCGTAACTCGCTGAACAACCGATATCACGAGATTGTGTGCTTCCCTACCTGTATTCCATCCAACACTTTCGATAGTGGTGGCCGCTACAAATTCGCAAACTAAGTGCCGTCGTTTTGACACATCTCGTCGGAATCAACGCGCGATGCTAAACGTCGTTTTATTAGCCGAGGTGCCATTCTCTTTCAAACGTAATTGCTAATGAGAACAGCGGTTCGTGTTTTATTTACAATAACTCGAGTTGGAAATTCGTCGAAGGGTCGGGGAAATGTGTCAAATTGCCATCCGGTTTTTTTCTTTTTTTTCGATCGAGTCCAGTCGTCAGTTTCAGCACTAACAATCGTTGCGACAACGACTAACAACGAACGAGGAGGAATGATCAGTGAACTGATGGGAACCTACGTTTTCGTTGTTAATTTCAGCATTCGATGCTCTACTTCTTCCATCATTACGAGCTGCCGGTGATCCTGCAGCAGGCTCAATTGCAGCATCTTTTGTTCCGCAATGCACAGCCTGGCATGGCTGATCCACCGGAACAACCTAACCCTAACTTGGCCAGCATAACTCGAGCGCTGGCCATCACCGAACCACTAAGAGTCGAACTGTTGTCAACGCAAGAGTCACCGGTCTCACCCAGAGAGTCTGAATCGGCGCAAGAAACACTGCAGGTTCAGTCGAACTCGACTGGCTCCGTAGTTCACGTAGACGACCGAGTCGACGCCGCGGTAGCAGCCACTGCGTTCACCAGGAAGCCGAATAACCAAGGTAAACCAAACGGTGATCGTTCAACTCGATAGTTGACAATATTTTCAACCTAAATTTTGAAATGGTAAACCATGCAAATGCACGTAAGCGGATAATATTTTCACTTGTTTCCACTGTGTCGTTCGTCACCTCGAATTGTCACTCGCTTGTGCACAAGCATGTTGCCCCCTTGTCCTTTGATCCTCGTTTCTTTGTCGCTTCTGACATCGATTTTTAAACGCAGTAAACCGTGTATACCGTCAAAACTGTACCAAGGTTCGAATCATTTTACGACATTGAACGAGTGCACTTTGTAGATCTCGTTACGGGATGGTTGTATCACTCCGTTTGTATTGTTCAGTATACGATACCTTACGAATCGTGTTTCAATTCGCACCGTGTCGCGTCCGTTGCAGCGATTATCCTCTCTCTCTTTCCCTCTGCTTTTAATTTTATTTGCCACGTTTTTTTTGCCGCGCGACTCGAGTCCATTCTAATTTCCGTTCTTCCCTTTCGGATGGGTGAAATCGAAATATGTGTAACGATTTGTGTATCCATTTCCATTGAAAGTAACAAGTCAACGTGGTAAAATATCACGATCGACAAAGGTGCAACGTGATCACCAAACTTGCTACTTTGAACACAGTAGGTTGCTTATCGCACAGTGAGTCTTATTTCTTTTTCTTTTCCTTTCCAGCATGAACGAACGAACGTATTGATCAAATGAATTTAACGAATATCCCGTACCGTTCATATTAATTTTCATAAAAGACACTTTGTAGTTGCACTTTTGTCCGTTTTTACGAGCTGCTTCGTGTTCACAATCTGGGAACGCTTGTGCAAACGTACAACAAAATATTTCTTTGCCATTCATTTCGTACTTATGCCTTTCATTCAATTCCATTCATTTCACGTCGATAAAATTGCGATTCGCGATTTCGGCAAAGAGTAAAACGAGTAATTTCTACGAGCGAGCAATCTATATTTATTGTCCAAAAAAAAAAAAAAAAAAAAAAAAAGCAAGCGATAGAGATTATTCGCACGTACTTGTTGAACAAATTTTCGTTGCCATCGGCTGACGCACTGACGAATCATTTTTTCGTAGAGAAATCCACTTCTGTGTTTGTGTAAAACTCTCCATAAACACATACAAGCTTCATAAATAAATGCAAAGTTTAGATCTTTCGCGGAAGAGCAATTCAATTGAACGCTAAGTCTCGGATCGTTCGTCGGAAACGTATTCGTCCGCTGTATCACGCTTAAACGCATCATTCTGTTCTTCCATTCATTTTGGTCACAGCACGTCACAGCTTCGTCGCCTGCTAATTACCTCCTGTTAATTGCCTCCCTAATTTCGTCTCCCAATCTTCCTGCGTTGCTTTCTCTCTTTCTCTCTCTCTCTCTCTCTTTCTCTCTCAATGCTGCCGCCACCGTTACATCCATCCATAAACATTGCCTGAACGTTGCTTTGAATCTTAGCGACAGAGAACCTCACGGAGTCAACTGCCTCGAACATTGGCGCGAAAGTGAGCACCGAGCCGAACGCCGAAACGAAAACGGAGCAAAAGGAGGAGGACAAGGAGGAGGAGGAAGAAGAGAAGGAGAAGGAGGAGGAGGAGGAGGAGGAGGTCGGAATATCCGGGGACGGCGCTGCTTTCTCTTCGAAGATCGGGGACAATGGATCATCCACCGATACCTCTACGTCGGAAGGGTTCGAGGTGATCGAGGCTACTGAGGCGACGCGTAAGGAAACGACGTCCTGTCAGGACGAGTAGGGGAACGTTGAAACGCTTCGAGCCATGCCAGTTGCATAGTCAGGATAGTCCAGGGGAAGAGGTTGTCATTTTCAACGCGGCTGCATCTGCGAGTAAGAGAACCGGAACATCTTGGAGCCGGAGACCTCCAGTCCGGAGGTTTCCAGACAATTGAAACCGAGCAGAGTGGAGATCGTTCAGCGTGGACCCATGACCAGAATAATACGTTTATTTTCCAACCGATCAATATCAAAGTATCTTCAAAAGAAAGCTCATCCTTCAGTCAGAAGTAGAGAGAAGTAGTTGGATAGATGGATGAATAGACAGATATATAAACAGATATATAAACAGATAGAGATAACAGATAAAGGAAGATGAATAGTGAGGAGAGAAAGGAGAGAAAGGAGAAAAAGGAGAGAAAGGAGAGTGAAAGAGAGGCAGAGAAAGAGAGAGCGTATGAGAGGAGTAGTTTGACGCCAGTAGGAGGTGGCCAGGTGTTAGGTTTTAACGAGTAACCAGGGAGGATCGGTAGGGATGTGAAACGAGATAACTAGTGACTGGATTTCATCGTGGTGCGGGACCAGATCTCGTTGAATATATATTCCCTTTGCTGGAAGGTTAACATATGCTGTATCGTATCCCCGAGGTCAAAGAGAAAGGCGAAACTTGGACGGAAGTTGGCGCGAAACGAGTTGGAGGGGTTTATTATTATAACACGCGTGGATCGGAATTCCACGACGTGTCGAGGAAAGGATGTGTAATAGATCGTGAAACTAACAAACGAGCGAAGTAAGATTCTTTTTTTTTTTTTTTTTCTTTTCTATTTTCTATCGCATAGAACTGAAGAACGAGCTTTCGTACCACGCGTGGATACTCGCGTCGTCGGGGATCCCCGGGTAATGTCTCGCGTCGCGTTGAACGATTTGAGGAAAGATCGAGCTTACGGAACGAGCTTGCGAGATATGTATGTCACGCTCGAATTCTCTGTGCGAGTGTCTGTCTCTCGGTTTTCTCGGGTGGCGACGATTATACGCAGGTACATATCTAACGACACGGCGAGAACAGCGAGACTGCAGCTCTTTGGGCGCAACAAGTTGGAGTGCCTTCGGTGAATATTCCTTCCTTTCGTTTCGTTTCCTTTGTTTGCTTGTCCCGTGACACGTGAAAGGAGATTTCTCTCTACCGGGCGGATTTTGATCGCAGCACGTCGAACGGACAGCAGCTTCGCGAACGAAACGTCGCGTGGCAACAAGATTCGAATTTTTCGCCACTGAGTTTATCAACGAGGCGAGGAACTTTCGTTCGTCCATTCAATTGCAGGAATCGTCGTCGATTTCATTCGATTCGGTTCGGTGGTCTGAATTTCGTTCGATCGATTTGCCATTTTTAACGATCGATCCGCCGTTGAGTACATATACAGGGTTGTTTATAGAGAACGAGGTCGGAATGAATTTTCTATCTCGCAGCGAGTTTTTCGACGTCTTATCGTTGTCTTTAAATCTTGCTAGTTAGTTAAGGGGGATATTGCGTAGCGCGATGAACGTGTGCCGGTCTCGTGCGAGGCATCTTCTTTTACGCATTCTGTGATTAAGAATTGTGATCAAGAGAGAACGAAAATTAGGCTGTAATTAGTAAAAAAAAAAAAAAAAAAAAAAAACTTCAAGAGCGGTTGAAAGTAAAACGTCGCTAGAACAATCACAGGTGCTTCCGTGTTGCGTGTCCGACCATCATTTTTTTTTCTTTTCTGTCCTTTATCCTTTCTTTTTCCACTTGCTTTGACGAACGTTTCTGACAGGCGTAAACATCCGGTTTTTTTTTACCGAGGAACGAACATCGATTTTTTGAGAAATCAATTTTAACCGATAACGGTCACGTAGCGTCTAAGGATTAATTGGTGACAGAATTTGCGTTAAGAGATACTTATAGTGCTCCCGCACACATATATATATATATACATATATACATACATGTGTGTGCGCGCGTGTATGCGTATGTGTGTGACTCTCTGTGTGTGTGTGTGTGTGCGCGCGTGCGCGTATGTGTGTCCGTGTATATACATATATATATTTATTCTTTACTATAAACGTTCACGTTTACATCGTATATACGTGTAAATTTATCACGGATGAGCGTTCGTGGTGCACGAGCTCTGTATACATACATATTTCCGTGTAAAGATCGGCGAGAGATGTTTTAAAGGGATTGTAAAGATTAAAAAAAAAGCAAAAAAAAAA